AATGCACCGGTCGATGGACTTGTGCGTATGACCGTCTGCCAGAGTGACTTGCGTAGGCTGGGACTTCCTCCGGACACGTGGGCCAAGGCCTGCGCGTACCATGAAGTCCTGGCTGATGTAGTTGCAAGACGCTATGCAATCGATCAAGGCACTGCAGGTTACCTCTCCAATATGAATGCGTACGTATAGCAATGGTGCGTCGATGTCGTCGTACCGTTGCGTCTTGAACTCACACTCGATCGTCGTGATGTAAGCGTGAAGGTCGACAACCTCTGCTCCGGCGTCCATCAACGGAGCTGGTACTTCAGTGTGCAAGTAATCCCGCAATTGTGCCATGAGCACATTGCAATGCGGTTTCGGCAATCGTCCGGTCGAGGGAACGGACATCCACTGGAAGTCCGTGAACGTCAACAGGTCGAGCTCTTCAAGTCTTGACCATGACCTCGAATCCCCGGCGAKAGATTGCGGCGAAGCTGCCGAATCGGTTGCCGATGGTGATGAAACCGTGCATGCGGTGGACTGTTGCACGTGGAGCGGTTGGTACAGCGGTGGAACCAAGTGGACATCATAATCCTCGTAAGTATACCGAGGACTTGCGACATTCGCGTTCTCCCCAGATGTGCAGGAGGCCGCTAGCAAGGCGGCCGAATCTGGCGGAGTAGAAGGTGGAGTCGCCTCACCTTCCGCGGAGCTCAGTTTCCCGAGCTGAGGCRGGGTCGCACATCCTCCTTGCCCTGATCTTGGCATAGGGAGGTCTTGTGCTTGGTGTTGTTCCACCAGTAGCAGTTGCCGTAGCGGCCGCGGACATTGTACTCTGCCTCGGTCAAGCCAAACTTGACCCATGGAACTTGTACTGGCTGTCGATTTCCGGCCTGCGATGCGGRTTTCGCCTTCCCATTGTTGCGGGACTTGTTATTGCTTCGCGTCTGGACAGCAGCCACCTGATCTCCGTCACTTGATGCTGGAGTGGCTGTTGGGTTATCTCCACTGTTCTGCTGGACTGCAGCGAAGTGCTGCTGTCGCGGACCAGTTTGTACCTTCTCCACATAGGTCGGCTGCCATGTCGATTTCTCGTGTGCAGCTGACCTATTGGTCTTGATGATCTCTCTCGCCTTGTCGATAATCTCGGTGAAAGTGGAGTACTGCTCGCGATCACCAAGAGCTTGGCTCAATGCAGCGCAGGATCTGTTGTAGAACTCACGTCTGAGATGAGTGAAAGGCAGGTCCAGATTGGGCACTGCCGCAATCTTCTGCCACTCTGTGAGCCAATCCCGTGTTGCAGTGTTGCCCTGTGACATAGTGAACAAACGGTTAATGGCGAGTGTCGGCGCGTCGTCGACGATGAACCGCTCCTTCCACAGTCGTGTCAGTTCCTCCCATGTCATTTGGTCCTTCAAGTCTGGTACGTCGACCGCATGGGAGGTTGCCAGGTGGCTCAACCAGGTCTGGCATCCGCCCTTTGAGTTCAAGAACAGGGCGCCAATGTACGCATGCTTGGCTACGGACAGAATCTTGAGTTGCGTTGTGAATGCTTCCCACCAGAGGACCGGATCCTGCTGCGTGTAGTCGTCGAACCTCTCCAGATTGAAAGTTGGCATCTTATACATCTTTGGATTGCCATCCGCGTTCGTCGTCTGCAGCTGCTGGACCTCGGTCTTCAATGTATGCGGCTGACTGCTGATGGTGGTGGTTGGCGCAGCGAAAGTGCTGATGTCGCCGAGCATTGCCACTACGTGGTCAACGCGGTCCTCCAGTTGGCGGCTAGAGGGTGCACTGCTGAAAGCCCCAGCAGTTGGTCCTGGTACAGCCTGTTCCAGGTCCAGCAATCGAGCATTGAGTGCCCGAGTTGCATCCTCGTGGCTCTGCACCATGCGGCGGAGCTTTGCCAACTCCTGATGCTGTTGCGTTAGGTCCTGGTACTATCTCTCCAACTCTGACCGTTGGTAGTTGCAAGCATACAACAACTGCGTCACGAGTTTGGAGAGGAACTCCTTGTGCTTCTCTTCCGGTGTTGCCTCGTCGCCGTTCAGTTCGAAGTGCTAGAACTTAGTCTGTCGATGCGGTTGGCTTCATGCCGCTGCAGCAGATCCTGGGCTTCCTTGCGGCGAGCATGGGCATCTGTGTCTGCATCGGCCTGTAGCCGCAGTTGTTCTGCTTTTGCTGCCTCTTTAGCCTGTACGCGGGCAGCCTCGGCTGCCAGCTGGCGTTGTTCCTCAGCCTCAATCTGAGCGTGGAAACGCTGCTTGTAGGCGGCAAGGGACTCGTTGGGCAGTTGCCCTGGCAGGCCCGTCATGTTGCTGACGTGGCACTGCTGACGTGACACTTTGTCTGACGTGGCACTGTGTCTAACGTGGCACTGCTGATGTGGCACTGCTTACGTGGCA